CCGAATAACCTGTTAAGAGTGACGTTGCGCTGCATTGATGAGACCTTGTTGACAAACGCTTCCATTTATCTACGCTACACCATCACCTGGTGCCAGTAGCTAAGCGGGCTATTAAATAACCGGCTATCAGCAGCATGTTTGGACAGGCTAATAACAAATTATTGACGGGAAGTGAAGATGTGCAATGTTATTATTTGATTAGCTGTGGCACGATTTGCGAACGAAATTCTAGACGACAACATGCCATCCGAATGACCGATAAGATTGATATGACACAGAGGAGGAAATGGCAGATGGGGAGACTTCGCGTGGGTTCTAGAGCCATTGATTTTGTGCAATGAAGTGCGTTTTTTTGTTATATTGACAAAAAAACAAGTAAAAAAGCAGTAAGTTCGGCCGGGCCGAACTTTGAATACCCTCCATCATTTGGAACGAATTTGAAAATTTTCAAAACAGATAACATTCGCCAAAAATTCTGTTAACATCTTCAAAATACAGAATATAGCCGTTATATTAGCGTCTGTACGACGTGGACCTACATAGGTATTGTTTGTCATTAGCCATTACCATAATCGAATTCGAAACTTCAAATAAACGATGAATAATGTAGCTAAAATCATCAAATTCCGTATATAGGAAGGTACCGTTATATCGGAGCTATAGGAAGACCTGGACTTGCATAGACAACTTTCTGTCACTGGCTGTAGCTTCTATTACTAACTTCAAATACGACATCTCAAACAATTTCGGTGAGTATTGTACCTAAAATCGTCAAAATACCGAATATAGGGAGGTACTGATATATGGGGCCTATACGAAGACCTGGACCTGCATAGACAATTTTCTGTCACAGACTGTAGTTCCCATTACGAACTCTAAATACGTAATTTTAAACATTTCCGATGAATACTGTCGCTAAAATCATCAAAATACCGAATATAGGTAGGTACCGTTATATGGGGGCTATACGAAGACGTGGGCCTGCACACACAATTTTCTGTCGTAGGCTGTAGTATCCATTTCGAAATTCAAATGCCAAATTTAAAACAATTCCGGTGAATAATGTCGCTAACGGGAGGTACCGTTATGTGGGGGCTTTATGAAAAGATGGACCTACATGGCCCGTTTACGAACTTAACCTGCCTACTGGAAAAATAAACATGTGTGCAAAATGTTAGACTTCTATCTCGATTCGTTCGGAAGATAGCGTGATTACAGCAGACAGATAGACGGACATGGCTAAATCGTCTTAGAATTTGCCCATCCTGCCTGCCCATCCGTCCGAATGTCCGTCCGTCTGAGTCTGAGCTAAAGTCAAAACGAAACAAGTTATCATGCTAAAATTTTGCACAAATCAGTCTTTTGTTTGCAGACAGGTCAAGTTTGAAGATGGGCTATATCGGTCCACGATATCGTATAGTGCCCATATAACGGTACCCCCGATATTCGGTATTTTGATGATTTTATCCACATCTTCAGTGAAATTGCCTGCAAATCCATACAAAGACTTCCTTGTGAGTATTTTATCCCCTGAAAGAGAATTATCTATTTAGGTCCACGATATCATATATCACCCATATAACGGTACCCTCCAATATTCGGTATTTGGATGATTTCAGTCAAATTTTTCAATGGAATTGTCTTCAAATCCACACAAGTGGTTCCTTCGGAGTTCTTTATACCCTTGAAGATAATTGTCTATATAGGTCCTCGGTTTAGTATGTCGCCCATGTAACGGTACCCTCCGATATTCGGTATTTTGGTGATTTCAGACAAATTTTTCAATGAAATTATCTTAAAATCCACACAAGGGATTTCTTCGGAGAACGTTATGCCCTAGAAGGGAATTGTCTATATATGTCCACGTTTTAGTATAGCGCCCATATAACGGAACCCGCAGATATTCGGTATTTTCATAATTTTTGCGACATTATTCACCGGAATTGTTTCAAATTTCGAATTTTAACTTCGGAACCGTAACTACAGCCTATGACAAAAAATACTTATGCAGGACCACATATACCGGTTTTCATTAGAGCGAAATTTTTCGACGGATTTTTTTTTCTTTTTTTCTGGAAAATTTTCAAGTTTCTTCCAAATGGTGGAGGGTATGAAAAGTTCGGCCCTGCAGAATTTAACTGCTTTTTTACTTGGTTTCTCCTCATATGGCTGAAATACAACATCCTATTGTAATCCGTTTAGTAAAAGATAGTGGCCTACATGGAGCACTTTGGCCACTGTGTCTAGAGTGTTCAAACCCTAGACCTTTCAAAAAATGAAATGGAAATTGTTAAAAATAACAAAAATCTGTATTACCCCAATCGGTGAGGGCCAAGCGAAGCTCCTCCAAAATTATTTTTTTGACATTTTTTATATATTTTTCATGCAAATTTTGATTTTAACCAAATGTTTTTGAAAAAATATCTTCCTGGGATCTCTCAATATTGCGAGAGGTTGCAGACCCCAGGAGGGTATAAAAATTCCAAGAGCAAATATTTTACTTAAAAAATTCCTTCATGAGGATGCCCCTCAATGTATTGTATCTAAAAATGTTAAGGCACCTAACATGAGACGTGGAAATTTTTCTGTCTAAGCCAAGCCTCGGAAATGTTTGATCAAATGCGAGTGAAAATATTCTTAAAAACGAGCGGGAGTACTCTTGTGAGTAAAAAAGAAATTAAGCATACGCCATTTTGATATGCCACTCGAAAAATATATGCTTTGCTTGATTTCGAGAAGAAGAAAAATTCGCTCTAAGTCGAGCAGATTCTACTCTTGCCGAGTACTTTTTCAGTTTACAAAACAAATACAAAGTTTTGGTAGATGGTTGCATTTATTGTTTTTGCTCACAAAATTCGCATGCCTCTTGCTTCTGATGTTTTCCTCTTCTTGTACAGTCCATTTCCTTCTCAGAGTAAACTCTTACTCTATTTCGAGCATTTCGACTCTCACTCTCATTTTTCATACAGGTGTAACTCGTAAACGCAAAAGAGTGGAGTGTAAACTTCGTATTAGAGTAATACACTTAGAGCTACTTAAAAACGAACAAACCCGAGCTCCGATCTAAGCATACTAATAGGAGATCCTCTGTTTCTAGAAGATACTTACAGTATTTCTATTCTGTAAAAATCTGAAAATCTTCTCTCAATAGGAATCTTGTAAAATGGGCTCTATCAGTGAAAAAAAAAAAACTTGATGAGATTTTCAAAATATCAGTGGGACGTCTTTAGACCTTTCATTGTCAGAAAATAATTTTTGAAGAAAAACCTTTTGGGGAATCCTCCATACATTGGGAAGTCAACCTAAAACTCCTTTGTTGCTATACGAAGAAGCCAGCCGACGACGAGTTAAGCCAGTCAAAAAAGCGTTTTATTTATTCTCACCTTAAGAGGTACTTTTTCGGGGCATATACTTGCTTTAAGGAAAATTTAGTGGTTGGAAGATTTTTAGGAAGTTATTCATGAACTTTAGAAATTCTTCCATTGCCATAATATCTAATATCTTTAAAGGTGATATACAGGATGAAAAAAAACTGCAACAAAGTCAAACGCCATAATTTTTATTTTTTTTAATTTTATTGAATGAAAGCAAAAAATATCGGAAATAGCATCAAATTTTAGAATAAGTTTAGATTTGTTCGAATTGGTCACCTTTGCCACGAATTATGGCCTTCAAACGGCCAATAAAACCGTCAAACGCTGCCCGAATGTTGCTCTGCGGTATTTTGGCCCATTCCCGGCGAAGGGCTTGTTTGAGGTGATTGACACTTTGGTATTTTTTAGTGCCAACCTTGCTTTCCGAAATTCTCCAGACACAATAGTCCAACAGATTGGTATCCGGAAATATTGGCGGCCATTGTGCGCTGGAAATGAATCGAGGAACCTCATTTTGTAACCATCCTTGAGTGGCGAGTGCTGAGTATGATGGTGCTGACACCCTAATATACCCTCCAGAATATTTTCGCGATAATATTCGGCATTTATTCAGATGACACGGTCGATTAAAACGAGCGGAGAGCCACCATAGGCTGTTATGGCTGCCCACACCATCACCATGGCCGGCGCTTGAGTTGTGGTGGCCAACCGAAGCTACACATTTTCAGCTGACCTCTTTGGCAAGTAAACACGATCATTTTGTTTGATGGACAAACTGCGGGACAACTAATTTTTTCTCATCGCAGTAACCAAATTCAGCATTTCACCACTTTCGGCCAAGCGAAGCTCTTTTAAGTCTATTTCTTCTGTTGCGGCATAAGTTCTTGCACTTTTTGGAATCTCAATGGCTTTCCCACCGAGCTCATTTTTCAATATTTGCCGAATGGAATATTTCGATATGTTCAGCTGACGAGCCATTTTTCGGCCACTGCGACGAGGGTTTCGATCAAGTCGCTTCTTTATTTTTCCAGTACCAGTATCACGGTAACGGGAGATGGTACGAGACACAAAAGATTTATTCACATTTAAATGCTGGAGTGCTCTAAGGATAGCCAGTTGTGGTTTTCCAGCCAAATACAAAGAAATCGCACTATCACGCTTGAATTCCACCACGAATAATTTTTTTTTCTGGAAAATTCTCAACAAAATGTTTTTGTACGCTTGTCAACAATATAATGAGCTGTCACTGGAATAATTTCAACAGCTGTCGGACAAGTGGTTGCAGTTGATTGCAGTTTTTTCATCTCTCTCCCTGTATGTATCTGCACCTTAAGTTTTCGACATGATTTTTCGTAAAAGAACAAAGGAATTATGTTGGCGTTGTTTAAATGATGGATCGAAATTAAAAATGAGTCAACCTGAACTCCTTTGTTCTTGGACGAAAAAGCCAGTCGATGACTTATGCCTTAAAAAACCTCCCATATATTCGCACCTAAATTATTTACGAACAGCAAACACTCAGAAAAAAATATACTTTGTCTGATAAGCCATAAAAATAGATATCCAGCGATCTCATTTCAATTGCAGCAAATATTTCAAATGGCTTTTCTTTTTGGCTATTTGCAGGTATCATGATCGGTTTGTGTGTTTCTCCTGTGGGTGTTTATTCGGCGGAAATCAGTCTTCCCCGCATCCGAGGACGTCTCATTTTGGGCACATCGATTGGCCTGGCAGCCGGCATACTCTTTATGTATGTTCTGGGATATTTTATACGGGTAAGTACGAAGAGGGAGAAAGAGAGCGCGCGGCAGATGAACTTGACTTAATTGCCGCAATGTTGAATGACATAACCGAACCGAACCGAATCAAACACTTGCATTTTCCCACTCTTGTTTTTGCCACTTTCCAATCCGCCTCGACCAGAATGATTGGCAGCTAATATCGATCATATCCACTGTACATCAAGTCATCTCGACGCTGTGTGTTCTGCCCATGCCGGAAACGCCAAGTTGGCTAATGCAAAATGGTTACACCGAGAAGGCGAGGCGTTCGCTGAAATATTTTCGGGGCCTAAATAAAAACGGTGAGTCATGGTGTTGAAAATCGAATCGAAAAAAATGGAATTAAATCGGTGCTTGTTCTTCCCCCTTTGTTCTCTTGCAGATGTTTCGTATTGTGAGGAATTTGAAAATGAATTGAATCAAATAAAGCGGACCTCGGAACAAAGTCGCAACACGGCCCAAAGTGAGTCGTTGTGGCAGGCTGTGAAGGCGCCTGAGGTGTACAAACCTCTGCTGCTGATGATTGGTTTCTTTGCCTTCCAGCAGTGTTCCGGTGTGGTGGTGGTTGTGGTCTTTGCCGTACAAATCGCCACAAGGGCGGGGGTGTCCATTGATCCGGTGCTGTGCGCAGTGATGGTGGGTGTGGCCCGCATCATCACCACCTTCTTCATGAGCACAATATTCGAGAAATGGGGCCGAAAACCGGCCGGTATTATTTCAGCCGCTGGCATGACGGTGTGTATGTTGCTCTTGGCTGCCTCGGGCTGGTTTCCCGAACCCTTTGCCAAGGCTCCGCCATTGCCGGTGGTCTGCATTGTTCTCCACATTGTGTTTTCCACAATGGGCCTGCTGACCCTGCCCTTTTTCATGATCTCGGAGGTGTTTCCCCAACGTGTTCGAGGCAGTGCTTCGGGCTTCTCCGTTAGTTTTGGTTTGATTATTTCATTTGCTGTCATCAAAATCTATCCCACCATGGAGGCTGTCATGGGTACGGCAAATGTGTTCGCCTTCTATGGTGCCGTTTCGGCGATAGCAGTGCCTTTTATTTGTTTCCTCATACCGGAGACAAGAGGTCGAACTCTGTTGGAAATTGAAGAATATTTCAAAACTGGACGAATGCCGTTGCCCAATGAAATGGCGGCGCTGGGTAAGCCACATAAAAATCTGGCCCATGATGAGGATGCCGGTGACGATGAGGGGTGCAATGAATCATTTCTCAAAAGTACCTAGGAGTGGTGAAAAGTACCCCCGTCTCAGGCTGGGGATGAGGGGTATTTTATATTCGGTTAAGTACTTAATACGAATTTGGATTCCAAAGAGGTCATGCAGCAGCAGCAACAACACCAATACCAACAACAACAACCAACGAGAAACTGTAGTCTGTGATTTTTACAAAAAACGCATTCATTACTATGTATCTATGTAATATACAATGTATGTATGTATGTATGTAGTGATGATTAATGTTCGTACTTAAAAGTAACACACACACAAAGAAATGTATTATATGAATAAATAAAATAAATGTTTTATTAGTATTTAAGTAGTAAAGAAACTGGTAGGTGTTTTTTTTTTCTTTTATTTTGGAAAAGTTGTTATAAAATTCAGTTGCTGACGTTTGATGAAATTTCCATGAAGAGAGTGTACGACGAGGTAAATAAATTGAAAATGGAGGTTGGGTTAGGGTCAGAATAGAACCCTATTGTTTTATTGGATTGAAATGGACCAAAAAACAGAAACATTTCCTGAACCGCTGGGCCGATTTTCACAATTGGTCTTTCGTCAGAAAAGCAGAAAATCTAAGAAAATCGCGGAAAAATATACCAATAAAAAAGTGAATATTTTTTGTTCCATTTTTTCCGATTCTTGTCATATTTTTATCGCATGCGATTTTAATTTAATTTACAATTTTGAATTGTAAATTTTCTAAATGTTTATACCCTTCAACACTACGTTTTGAGGGTATTATATGTATGTCGCAATTATCATCCGATCCTCACGAAATTTGGTATGGGAGTAGGGTCAGAATTAAAGCCTATTGTTCTTAAGATGTACACTTAGAGGTTCAAATGTTCCAAAAAAAATTAATTTTTCTAATTTTGTAGTCGGTATTTCAGATCGGAAGAGTATTAAGGACAAGGAAGAAGTCCATCATTTTGGATGATCATTGGATTATATTTACCTCTGGGTAGAGCTCTTTGATATTATTTCAAAACCGAAATCTTCCAAAATGGATTTGGATATAAGGGGACCTCAAACATATAGTAGTGTTGTAGATATCACATGGTCGGCCCCACACGACTATAGCCTTTGCTTACTTGTTTTTTTTAATAATTTTTTGTATTCGGAATAAAAATCAAAACTTTTTAATACATACATATCTAATTAAATAAGGTGACCGGTAATTCACTTATACGTTTTTCCACGGGTGCCTTTGGATTGTAGTCTCACAGGAGCTTCTACTTGTTGTTCAAGAGAAGCAGTTTTGTTTCACAGAAGCTTCGGCTGTTTGTACTACAAGACTCTGTCGCTCTTTATTCCACAGAAGCTTTGGCTCTTTGTTCTACAGCAGTCGTTGGATCGTTTTTTTAAAGAGCCTCGACTTTGGCATTTCGTCCTACAGGAGCTATGGGCTCGTTGTCTCACATGAGCTTAGGCTCAGTGTCAAACAGGAGCTTAGGCTCATTGTCCCACTGGAGGTTCTACCTCATTGTTCCACAAAAGTCTTTGACTCCTTGTCTCACAGGAGTATTTGGCTAGTTTTTTCAAAAGAGTTTCGGCTCTTTGTTCCACCGGATTCCTTGGCATTTTGTTTTGCACGAGTTATGGCCTCGTTGTCTCACAGAAGCTTCTTCTCGTTGTATCACAGGAGCTTCGACTAGTTTTCCTACAGGAGTCTTTGGCTCGTGTTATACAACGCGTTCCCGAGGCATCTTAGACGATCTGGACATCTTCTCCCTAATATCTCCCCAGTGAGATGATACGTGTAACCGATCGCTCACAGAAGACAAACATCGCAGTTCCTGATTATCTACCACTCGTCAAACGCCATAGTTTTTACTTTTTTTTTTAATTTTATTGAATGAAAGCAAAAAATGTCGGAAATAACATCAAATTTTAGAATAAGTTTAGATTTGTTTGAATTGGTCACCTTTGACAGGAATTATGTCCTTCATAATTCGGCCAATGAAACCGTCACATGCTGCCAGAATGTTGCTCTGCGGTATTTTGGCTTGCTTGAGGTTATCGACACTTTGGTATTTTTGGTGCCAACCTTGCTTTCCAAAATACTCCAGACACAATAGTCCAACGGATTAGTATCCAGAGAATTTGGTGGCTATTATGAGCTGCAAATGAAGCGCTGGGTGGCGCGTGCTGAGTGCGAAGGTGCTGAGTCCTATTGGAATGTCCAAGGTCTGCGGCCAAAATGTTTGCGTGCCCAAGGCTTTAATACACCCTCCAGAATATTTTCGCAATAATATTCGGCATTTATTCTGATGCAACGGTCGATTAATACGAGCGGAGAGCGACCATCGGCAGTTATGGCGGCTCACAGCATCACCATGGCCGGCGCTTGAGTTCTGGCGGCCTACCGAAGGTTCACATTTTCAGCTGACCTCTTTGGCAAGTGTATGTTTTCTAGTCGGAGAAGACTAAAATTCGGCAGACCACCACTTTCGGCCAAGCGAAGCAACTCTTTAGCTCTTTTGAGTCTATTTTCTTTCTGTTGTGGTGTAAGTTCTTGCACTTTTTGGAATATCAATGGCTTTCCCCTCGAGCTCATTTTTCAATATTTTTGCCGAATGGAATATTGCGATATGTTCAGCTCACGAGCCATTTTTCAGCCACTGCGACGGAGATTTAGATCAAGTCGCTTCTTTACTTTTCTGCTGATGTTGCTGTTTTCTTCCGTCCACTTCCTTGACCACGGTAACTACCAGTATCACGGTAACGAGCGATGGTATGAGGCACAAAAGATTTATTCACATTTAAATGCTGGAGCTCTAAGGATAGCCACTTGTGGTTTTCCAGCCAAATATAAAGAAATCACACCATCACGCATGAATTCCATCACGAATAACTTTTTTTCTGGACAATTCTCACCGAAATGCTTTTGTACGCTTGTAAACAATATAATGAACTGTCTCTGGAATAATAAAAGCTGTCAGACGAGTGGCTTAGAAATGACAGCAGTTTGAAGTTGGCTGCAGTTTTTTCATCTTACCCTATATACGTTAGTATAGGCACATGAAAACATAGTCAATATAGAGATCATATAGTCCCAATATCAAAAGACCCCAAGTCAGTGAACGATCATGTGAATTCCAGGGAAAAAGTGACTAAACCCAAATACAACACCCTCCGGCTCGTTCAGCTTCCTTATTCTCTCGTCTACTTTCTCTATCGAACATTGACCTTAAAATAAATTCTATAAGTTCCGAACCTCCCTGCATAAACAAATGTATGTATGTATGTAAACTGTAGTGGTTTTTTAACACTCTTCAATTACTACATATACACATAAAAATAAACAATATTAATGGCATTGGTCGGAACAAAGTGTTTACAAAAAAATTAGAATGGATGGACAATTAAAAATTTATTTTTTTATTGCTTTTCTTTATTTCTTAAAGATTTCAAAATTGCGTACAAAACTGCGATAGAGTGTCTTCATAATGTGATGGTAAATAGGCGACGGGGGTGGGGCGGTTGGCACATCAGGGGTGGGTCAATCGGTTTTATTTTCATAAAATTTATTTTAGAAAAATAAATAAAGGCGATCATCATCATCTTCATCATCGCCATTTAAGAAACGTCTAAAGAGAATGCAAGGAACTGGACAAAGGCACTAAAATCTGTGTCATTGGCATTTCATCGACGAGATGTGGACCTGATTCGCGAGCTGTATTTGTTTTGCTTGATGATGACTACATCAAATCAAATTCAAATGAAAAACTATGGATGCCACTACAGATGTTTTTTGTTGTGTTATTATTGTTGTTGTTGGTTTGACATTTGCATTTTTTTGCAATTCTTTGTGGCAGCTGATAAGAATGGCCAAAGCAAAGCATTTGGAAGTGTTACTCTTTTTTTTTTGTGTTTTCTGTGCTGGATGACTGACGCACCGACTGCCTGGCAATGAATTAATGCAAATATTTACACGCATTAATGATGCGATGAAATCATAGCTACAGCCAGACTGACTTCTGATGATGATGGAGTCGGTGGTGGTATTAATGGCAAGTGATGTAACTCGTTAAAGTGGGGTTTCTTTGGCTTTCAGAGACTTCCTTTGATTACGCAGGTTTTTTTTTCTGGGAATTCGCTCAAAGTTATTTAAAATGATAAGGGAATTTCCATGTTCATAGTTTTTCTGCGTTGGGAAAATATTTACAATACGGCTATGGTATGGAAATGAATGCTCAAGACTTTAAGAATTCCGACTTCTAGGAAATAAATACTTGCTAAGATAAAAAAAAATTGAAAAATTTACGAAAGTTGCTGTGAGGCTCAAAGTCATCAGACAAACAGAAATGTAGAGGGACTTCGTTAAATCTTAGAATCGTATGTTGATCATGTCTTTATAGAGTCTCGGAATAATATTTGGAGGCTCTACAAACGGAATGACAAATTTAATATTCCAAGGTGTCATAACAGTGCACAGCCAGAGAGTAACGTCAGATGTCACCACTGCAGGGTAGCTGTCACAAGAATTCAATAATACCAAGTAACATATTCCTCATTTAATTTTAAAGGGATGTCTTAAAAACCCTTGGGCGCCACAAAATGATTTTTTTCCAACAATAACCAAAGATGAGTGTAGAGAGAGGCTTGATTTAGAAGCCGCTTTATTGGTTACTTAATTTTAAAAATCTCTAATATAAAGAACCAGACTACCGATGCCGAGAAACTTCAGTAGATTTTCTGAGAAAATACAAATACAGACTTTTCTATTCGAAATACAATAATAAAGAGAAGACGAGGCCCTTTCTAAAGCAGCGGTGCTCAAAACCGTGTTCTAGAACATGAAGAGAAAAAAGAGATAATTTAAGAGAAAATTACAATTCTGTTTTTCTTTATATTTTACGATTCCATTTAATTGTTTTAAAACATAAATGTTTGCCAAAATAATTTATAAAGCAAATGGATAAAAAATATTTGTTTAAATAATGACTTAACATTGTTTTGTTCTTGATTTAAATAAGCAAAGAGAAATTTGACTGAAAAGAGATATTTCTTCTTGAGCACCGCCGTTCTAAAGCAAACCTCCTAAAAACTCGCTCGATTTTGCTCAAAGAGTGAAACTCACTCGATTTCGAGAGAGTGTACTTCTGGTAGTAGCAAAAAAAAAAAAAATTGAGC